TATTTCCCATGTTCTAGGTACAAGGAAAGTACCTTGTTGAAGCACTAGAAAAGATAAACAAGCATTGAAAGCAGGCTGAGTGCCTATACAATTGTGAATAATAACTTTTAAATTTCCAGTGCATACATGAATCATTATGAATGTCTTTACCATTACAGAGTTTTGTTGCATTAGTGTTGCAAACAGCATGTTTACTGTTATCCAGCACCCTAGAAGATTATAATCTGAGTGCATTCATCTGGTGGGTGCAAGGACTGGGGTATGACAGTTGGACAGTTGGTATTTAGGGACAAAATGCATAGATGAAGTCAGGTGGTGGCACCTTCAACAAAACTGTTTTTTTGTTTTGCCCTACAGCTCTCAGGCTATTAGCATATTTAGTCTTGCTCACCTTGTTTTTCTCAGCTTCCTTTTAACCTTGTGCTGTTGTATTTTCATTTTGTCCTCAAGTGGTTGTTGGCTTTGTAAGTTTAAAATTCTATGGCACACAGCTTTCTACATTAGATGTGGGGGCTGTCAGATGATTCCAGACCTATCCAGGAAAGGGATCCTCTGAGATAACAAGGTATAGAGCTGGATGAACACAGCAGGCCAAGCAGCATCAGAGGAGCAGGAAAGCTGATGTTTTGGGTCTGGACCCTTCTTCAGAGAATCTCAGATTCTCCAGCATCGGCAGTTCCTACTATCTCTCAATGGATCCTCTGTTTCAGTTTCCCAATTGTCTGTTCGATTAGAACTCTGGAAGAGGTGTAACTAAGTGTATCACTTGTCAGTCTTTATATTCAGGATCCTGGGAAGTGTCATGATCCATGACAGAAGTCACACAACGCCAGGTTATAGTCCAACAGGTTTATTTGAAATCAAACCAGCTTTCGGAGCACAGCCCCTTCGTCAGGTGCAGTGAGAGAGGAGAACATACAGACACAGGGTTTTATAGGCAAAGAGATCGAGGGCTGAGAGATCAAAAGATCATACAACTGGTGTGAGTGGAATGTCAGATAATAAGTCTCTGCAAGTGACCAAGAGTGTTAGACGGTGAGTAAAGCGTTTATAAAGTCAGTGTCAGCGCTGTGCTGTCATGACAATCACGCAGAGCCGTAGGAATATACGAAAGGTGACATCTCAGGTCAGATACTGAATTGTAAGTGTGAGGCCTTGTTCAGAATCTGTCTCAGATTTTAAACCGGAATCAGGCTGGTTTTATTCCGAAACCAGGAAGTTATAAGATGTCACACTGACTGACTGTGACACAGGATCTGCTCAGATGAGGAGGAATTTTCGGACACTTGAAGATTTTGAAAGATGCCCTCATAAGAACAGGATACAATGCTCAACTCATCGGTCCCAGCTCCAACGTGCCACAGTGAAAAACTGCAACAATTTCTTTAAGATGCCACACTGACTGACTGTGACTACAAATTGTGTATTTTTTGAACAAAATAGAAATGTATCTGCAAATAAAAAAACTGTGTGTATGTGTGAGAGAGAGACAGTGTGTGAGTGTGTGTGTGTGTGTGAGAAAGAGTGGGTGTGTGTGACAGTACGAGTGTGTGTGTGTTGGTGTGTTTGTGTGAGAATGTGTGTACGTGTGCATGTGTCTGAAAGAGTTTATGAGAGAGTGTGTGTGAGAGAGAGTAATAAGTAATTCAAAACTGTACCAGCTAAGATACAGAGATCATAATAATTTATCAAGGTGATGCTATCAAAACAGGAAGTAAGGAAGATTTTACAGATGTAGAACAGTGTGGTGGAGTCACCTGTAGCATAACATGAACTCAAGATAATGGTTGAGGCCATCATTACAGGTATGAAACTTGGCTATCAGTCTCTGCTCAGCGATTCTGCGTTGTGGTGTGTCTCGAAGGCCGCCTTGGAGAGCACTTACCCGAAGATCGGAGGCTGAATGTCCTTGACCGCTGAAGTGTTCCCCCACTGGGAAGGAACATTCCTGTCTGGTGACTGTTGCGCGGTGTCCATTCATCTGTTGTGATTGTTTCTGCATGGTTTCGCCAATATACCATGCCTTGGGGCATCCTTGCCTGAAGTGCATGAGATAGACAACATTGGCCGAGTCACATGAGTATCTGCCGTGTATGTGGTGGGTGGTGTTCCCATGTGTGATGGTAGTGTCCATGTTGAGGATCTGACATGTCTTGCAGAGGTTGCCATAGCAGGGTTGTGTGGTGTTGTGGTTGTGTTGTCCTGAAGGCTGGGTAGTTTGCTGCTCAGAGGAGAGGGAATGCCCTCATAAGAATGGGATATGATGCTCAACTCATTGATCTCCATTCATGCAACAGCAAAAAGACCTCCCCATAAGATACAACCGATATGATACCTTCATCATCCAGTACTTCCCCAGAGCAGAGAAACTACGCCATGTTCTTCGCAGC